GAGCCGGCAGACTGTGAGGCCAACTCCAGGCAGACGGCGTCAGAATTGAGTTGAGTCACAGGACACCAACTCGTGTGAGGACCGCTCGGTGTAGGACATGCACACCTGGCATCAGGTGTGCTGCGTGCTGAGCGTGAGCCGGGCGTTGACGGTGAGGGAGGCCCCCTCCCGTCCTGGCTTGGCGGCCGTGCCCGCGAGCGAGGCCTCGTCGGACGTGGGGCTTTGCAGACTCAGCCCCCTCGCGGCGAGGCCTGCTGGAGCCGGTGCCCCGGCCCCTCGTGACCGGTGTCCTCGTAAGAAGAGTCTGGGCCCGGCACACGGAGGCCACACCGCCCGTCGCAGACACAGACTCCGGGGAGAGGGACACGCGCCGCTGTGGGCAGGAGCCGAAGCCGGGGTTCCACAGGGTTCTGAGCCGGGGTTCCCAGGAAGCCGCAGGCCGGGGGCTGGAAGGGACAAGGCAGGGCCCTGGCCGGGGGACGCGGGACACAGGCCTCGGTTCCACACTTCCGGCCCTGGGACTGCGGGGCAGTAAAGTGCCGCTGTTTCAAGCCGCCCACTCGTGTGCCTTGTACGGCAGCTGGGAACCCTAATTCGACGGCCTTTTAAAAGAAAACAAAATGAGATCTCTCGACGCCTGGCCACGGCGAAGCACGCCGTCGGCGCCTCTTCCGCGTCCTGTCACCGGCGCGCTCCGTCTTAGGGGTCCCTTCGCCTCGTCCTTCGGCCTGATTCAAGGCTTTGAGCAACTTCGCCAGCTGCTGAGAGCTGTTAGCATTTCCTTCACTATTTCATTAGGGGCCCTTTATGCGAGTCGTTAATTTCTCCCATTGCAGCAGAGAAGGGCGTCAGCCTGTCTCCCGCCAGCGCTTTGCTCCGTGCTCAGGGGTCATCGCTGGCCTCTCCTGGGGACGAGAGTGGAGTGTCACCTTCATGAAGACTCCTCATCCACTCCGGAAAAGGCTGCTTCTCTGAGCCAGCTCTTGTCCTAACTTTAATTCTTAGACCGAGAATTTGCTCTGAAACACTAGTTTCCTTTGCTGTATGATGGGGTTTATTTTGGGTCTTAAATTGTTGATAATCTTTTGTCTAATACAACGTGCTCTGATTGAGCTAATGCTAAGGACAGATACGACGGAGACCAGACGCCCAGCGTAGTTTGGTTTTGACGTACGCCACACATTCTCGGAGCAGATTTCTACGACCACGTGAGGCTCCGGAGTCACGGAGGCGCCCCTGCTCCGCGGGCGGTGGGAGGCACCGCATCGTGTCTGCCAGCCCCGGACGCGAGCCCGAGTGGCGGACCTCGCCCCAGCGTCGCAGGTTCCGTCCTTCCCTGACACGCCGGCTCGTGGCCCAGGGATCTTCATCGACTCGCGCTGTCAGTAATTAACGCGCTCCGGCGAGCGTGAAGCGGCGAGCTCCATGGCGACGCCACCCTGAGCACAGGCCACCAGCACGCCGCTTCTGCTGGCGGCTCCACCCCGACTGTGCGCTCCTGGCAGCAGCCACGCGAATACCCGGCACGGTCACGGACACGCGGTTTTCAAGAGCAGCGAACGTGAGAGAGGAGGCTGGAGGGCGCACAGTAGGGACCCTGCGTCGAGGGGGATGGGCCGAAAGCCTCACGCGTAGCTTTCAGCGCCTCGGCCAGTTCCCGTTGGGACTGTCGTGCGTGTTCAGTATTCATTCGTTAAAAAAACACACGTTTTAGGGGAAAACTCCGTGCACGCAGAAAGCTCCAGCAGTTTGGATCTGATCTGTTGTGTGCAGGTGAAGACACCAGCCCCAGGTCCCGGCGGAGAACCGTAGACTGAGCAAAGCTATGAAACCCGGTGTCCAGAGCAAACACATGCATCACGGAGGAGTGTGCGTCCGGGGCCCACGGGGACAGGAGCTCTGGGACCTGCAGATGGCAAACGGCTCTGCCCTGTGAGCGTGGCGTGCGGGGACCTCCAGGACGAAGGCTGTCGGGCCAGGCGGCACAGCCTCGCGTGCGTCCCGTGGACCGATCTGTGACGGACGAGGATGTGCGTGGACAGGCGTCACTGGGAGCGACCAGAGGCTCAGTGGCGACCACCCGCCTGCCGTTCATTTACCCGGCTGGCCCCCACTGACAGCCCCAGAGGCCACTCCTGCTGGACACCGCCGTGGGGGAGAGGCCACCTCTGAAAGTGGTTGTTCACGGGCCAGAGAGGGTGTGGTCGCTTCGACTTGCTTTATTTCACAGATCTACCGGGGCACGAGGATGAAACATTTGAAGATAACAGTTCTTTCACATTGCAGAAGTGGGCCAAAGGTGCACGTGCGCCTTCAGTGTGGGCCTGAGGCACGTCGCTCCCCACAGACACGGCCGCGGTGATGCTCAGCCCCTAAGCCTCTCGCATGCAGCGTTTTACACTTTATCTTTCTGCCCAGACTCAGACCCCGGCTGACTTGGAAGGGTCATGGAGAGACTGCACCAGCACCGAGCCCGTAAGAGGGGATTTGACCAGAGACGTTATTTTGTTCATCTCGACCATCTTCCCTGAAGCCCGACCCCTCCCACAAAGCTGTCTGGGGACAAAAGCACGGACTCTGAGCCCGCTGGGGAGAGGGACGTGCACGAGAACGGGCTTGTTTGCTCAGCCAGGCATGGGGACACCCGTTCCCACTTGACGTGACTGAAATCTGCGTCTGTGTCTATCAAGCGTGATGTGTATGAAGACCCAGGGCCCGAACCCACCCCCAGTGGGAGCCCCACAAGAGGTGCTTGTAGGAAAACCCGTGAAAACAGCATTATGGCCAAAGCCAAGGCCTTAAGTAAAAGGACGTAAATGAAAAAAAAAGCGAACATTTATCCATCCAAGGCTACAAAAAGATAGGGGGTGACAAGTGTTAATTTCAAAATAATAATAATAATAATAATTCGAGGCAAATCTTAGTAAAAATGGGCAGTTTACTTTGGAACGTTGGCTCTGCCGTGAGGGTGTAATAATCAGAAAGTCTGACGGTCCAGATGACGCACCATTAAAATACATCAGGTCAAGAGTGACGAGGAAATGACGTGGCCGGCGCTGCCCCTGCGCAGCAGACTGGACACCGCGCCTCCCTCCCGTGGGCGGGCCCTGCGGTTTCCGCGCCCTCCACTGCACTCGCACGACGACCCGTCCACGTGTGTACGTCCGCTGCCCTGACCGGAGTTCACGTCCCAGAGCAGAAGCCACGTGGCAGACGCTGCTCCGACGTGACCGACGCAGGGAGCCCTCGTGACGACGGCTCTCGACGCCGTGTCCTCCCCACTCGAGGCAGGAGCGCGCGCTGGTGAGCAGCAAGACAAACATCGTGTCGAGAGAGGCACAAAATGCCTCCTAATTTTTGCTAAATTTTACGTTTCATTTACATATTCATCTGTTCAGTTTCATGTTGGTGCTTGAAAAAAAATCAGTGGGCCTGCCACCTTCCCATCTTAATTAATTGCTTCCTTCTTCCATCCTGCAGAGTAAAAAGATCATTAAGAAATATATTTCCCTTGCTGGTGAGCCTCACTGCGTTTCTTCGGGAAGGTGGTTTGGTTTTTATTGCGCCCGCTAAGTGATATCTCTCTTCGCCGATCAATACCAACAGTGAAGGGAGGCGACAGCCGTATCACGCTCCTCCCTCTTCCTTCCAGAAACGAAGCTGGCTGGTGTGCCCAGGAGGTGTACCCTGTGTCTGGGGACATAACGGAGGTCCTGCTCTGGTCTCTCTTACCCAAATGCTTTCAAAATGAGCAAATAACAGGGGGATCAGCACTCACCCCAGAGCCCTGACGGACCACACAGCAACTTCACGGAAAATGCGAGCTCTCTACAGGGCCGTGGCCCCCTCCAAGGAGCAGACGCGCTCGTACAGGCTGAAGACTCTCGAAAGGTCGGACGCACCGAGGGCTCGGTCCTGGGGATGGATTCCTAAGTAACCCCGAGAAGAACAGAGGAAGGAGAGTCCACGTTGATGAAAGCGGATGTGCAGCCTCAGAGTCTGATGAGTGCTTCACTCCGGCCGTCGGTCCCCACGGCCACCTTCTCCCAGGACTCAGGAATTAAGGCCCAAGCCGAGGGAGCCGCGACAAAGAGCACAGCCCGTGATGGCCGAGGCTGGTGAAGAGGCGGCCCCGTCAGAGAGTTAGGGGTTAAAAGCAGCGCAGTGGTTGTCCACGGCCACGCCACCCTGAACACGCCCGATCCCGCCTGATCTCGGAAGCTAAGCAGGGTTGGGCCTGGTTAGTACTTGGATAGGAGACCACCTAGGAAGACCAAGTGCCGTAGGCGTAAAAAATAATAATGAAAAATAAGGGATTGTAAGCTGACGAGGTCCTTGCAATCTATGAGGTCAACCAAGGGTTGCCTCACCTAAAAAATAAATAAATACATAAATAAGTAAATAAAATGAAACATCGCAGCCGCGTGGTGGGATCCGCCTTTCACAGATGCAGGAAAACCTGGGA